ATCCCTTGGTTAATGTGGTACTGACTACAGCAAGAAAAATCTCCTATTGGCAACTTCTCTCAGAAAAAGAGCTGCTCTGCATACTTGGCTTCGACGATGTTCAACAGAAATGGCTTTCCTGTGCACTCAGCATATCAAGCTTGGTCATTGAAAAACAAGAGAAAAGAAAAAGAAAACAAAGGAATGAAAAGATGAAATGATTTTCTTTTGAGTAAAGAGGTAGGAAAATTTCCTATGACCTCATTATTTTACTTCGAAAGGGATGATCACACAAAGATGGAAGCGAGGTTAGGAAAATTTCCCGTGATACCACTATTCGCCTACATTTTTGATGAAGAAAAAATAATAAAAAAGGAGCTGAAAGCTGTTTTGAGAATATTTTCTGGCTGAGTATGTAGATGTGTAGACTAGTCTGAGTGAAGCAGTGTGTGTGAAAGCTCCTCAACAGAGAAATAGCTACCTCACTGAGCTGGTGGGTTGAATCCAGTTTTACAGTTCGATGTGCTTGCTCATGTGCATATCATGTTACTTCAGGAACTCTGTGTTCACAGGTATGACGTGATACATTTACTGAGTGACTCCAAAATGATCTTAATTTTCAAATAAAGTGTTTCATGAAAAACAATTTTGGATCTCTGACATGGTCACTTCCTGCCTCTGGTTGTTTAGTGGTTGCCTGTGATATTCCTGTGCTCAACAGTGTCAATCTGTACAGTATAGAGTGCATATTAAAACGAATTTCAAAGCAAGGGTGAATTGGTTATCTCACCGGTTAAAACCGGATTATGTATCTTATTGGAATTTCGAGTTTTTGATGCAATTACAGGTCTGCTTGGTGGTGAAGGAGTTTTTATGCCAATCTTGCTGAGTTGGAAACTTGTGCTGACAGTCTTACATTTGTGTACTGGATTCCTGGCACAAATCGGACTACTATGCGGCCTGATCGTCTTCTGCTGATAGATATGATGTTGTCCTCCCAGAGAGCTGTCCTCCAGAGAGCTGTTCTGACTCTGCCAACTTATACATTATCTCGTTCTCCTGGAGTATTCAGGGTCGAGACTGCTGAAGCTTAGAATGCTGCACCTCCATTTAAGACATCAAGGACCTTGCTTCATGATGATCTTGCAGATCTCCTGGCTGTAGCTATCTTGGATAAAGCGTCGCCTAGATGGTAAGTTTTGTTCTCCTTCATCTGATTTTCCTGCATAACTTGATGGCTTTTGCTTTTTACATGAATGTGCACTCAAGCATGGGGAGAATATGGTAATTTTGATGAAGATCCTGCTGCGGATCCTAGTGATGAGGAGACTAGTGGCTGATTAGTTTAGACTAGGCCTAGTAATAAGGGGGAGCAAATGTGTAGTGTGTCTTTGATAGATTTTGCACTACTGTTCTGTATTTGCTTCTGTTGGGTGTTGAAACTTGAATCCCCAGCAGTTTCTGTTTTGCTAATGAATGTTATTTCAGAATTCTTTTGAGTTTGAAATATACATTGGTGCTTCTTGGTGTGTATCTTGGCAAACTAACCCTGACAGGTAGCTCTGGAGCTTGAGGTGTCACATTCAGGTAAAAAGGGGGAGATTGAAGACATATGGATGTCGGGCTACAGGAAGATCATGTGGAGCACATGAGAGAGCTGTATGCGGGAAACTGTGAGACATTAAATGAAGATGATGTGGCGAGCAGTGATTGGTGATTGGAAGTTTCCAGAACGTGATGCTCAAGTTATTCGGTGTATTGAAGATACGATCAAATCAAGGAAAGAAGATTTGGTGTGATCTGAAGATTAGGAAAGTTGTCTATGACGCTTCCTTTATATTCGCAGTCTAGACTTTAGGTTTAGGTGGGCGTTTAGACTATCTCTGTGAATCTCAAGTACTAGGCTAGAAGCTGTTAGGGTTCTTGGTGAGTGAACAGAGTGTATGCATAGCTGTTGTTGTGTTGTGAGTTTGGGTAGATTAAGAATTGGTCAGTGACGAGTTGTGTCAACGTCGTGTAAATCTGATTAAACATATCTTGTAGATTGTTTAAGTGATTCTTAATAAAGGAAAAGAAGTTCTTTTCAATTGCCTCAACATCTATATAATAACAGAATGTTGTGTTTGTCTAGGTGATTTATATAGTGAAGGTAATGTAATCTATTTTTAGAATTGGTTTTTTTGTTCTTGTTTCTTTCACGATGGTGAAGATTGCATCTCTATAATTTAGTGTTATGGTAATCCAAACAAACTTATCGTTATGAATAAACAATAATTAATCGTTTAAAATGTTACAAATCCTTGTAATCAAACCAAATCAGAGAACGACTAACCGAACAGAAATCACTAATTCGCTAAACGATTTCGGTTCGGTTAGTTTCCGGTTAAGAAAATTAATTCGAGCCGATTAAGTCACTCTGTTGTTTGAAATATAGCTAATCTCGGAAGCTTAGCTATATTCCATGTTATTAGCCTCCGAGATTAGCTATATTTCAAACAACATACTTAACTAAAAACTACTTTAGACTGTTACATCGAAATCCTTGTATGGTTTTGATATAACAGTCTTTTTCTTACTAGTCAAATCATACAACAATGGTATAGTTGCCATGATATTAGTTCCACTTGATAATTTTTTAATTCATGACTACTTTATTGCTAACAACGTCGGATTAAAAAATTGATTAAACAGGATATTATCATTTAAGCAAACATCTCTTTCAATGAGATCGAAGGTCAAAACTCTGTTTCATTAATATACAGAAATGAGTACTTTTCTATTTATACTCTAGTACATAAACATGATTACGAGGATATATATGATTGATAATGTTTTTATTCCTGGTCTTCTTTTTTTTTTCTTATGTAAGTTGTCATTTGATCACATCTTACGCAGCATGTACAATAAAATTATTAGAGATTTAATCATGGGAGAGAATATGAAACACAATCATTATGTATTGTACTTCTTCAATTGTTTTCACATGTAAATAACATAGTTATTATCCTCCTGTTCGAGGCCTTATTCCCTTAACGACTCCGTAACTAACTTGCAACAATATCAGAGGAAGAAAATGAGCTCCACGTGAACACGAATTTAGTAGACTAATTCCGCCCATTTCATTCAAAGCCCAGCCAGTTAGTATTTGGTTTTGGTCACAAATGTGAAAACACTTATACCGGGAAAAGAGTATTTTCATACCCGTACATTTTACAAAGTGTGTTTTCATACCTGAACAAACACGTAGGGATCATTACAACCTGAACCGCAAAAAAAAAAAAATGAATTTCATACCCAAAATATAGTTTTAGTGTTTTTTCCGGAGTCGTAATTAACCAGTATTAGGGCCTGACTGGTTTAAATGCAGCGGTTGCGGGAGTTTGCGGAAGCGGGCGGTTGCGGTTTCAAGCGTTACCAAGCGTTTTGAACGACTGGTTTAGCGTTTGAAAATGGATGCGTTTGCGGGAGTTTTATGACTGGTAAACCAGCGGGTGCGGTAGCAGTTAAATAAAAAAATGACAAAAAAATAAAAAATATTACAAAAAAAGAAATAAAAACACCAATATATTATTATGATAATATTAGAAAATTGAACATGCTTAATAATTAAAACCATAAATAAAGTACTAAATAATTATTCAAAAATAAAGAAATTTTGTAATAAGATAGTACTTTATGCTGGTTTAACACCAAAAATTGCATCATGTAATGGGACAAACTGTAAATAACGTTGAATTCAATCAAAAAGCAAATGAGTTTCTATTCGAGAAAACAAATCGAAACATATATTCAATCAAAAAGCAAAACAATACATAATGAAAAGAAAAAAACGATGCCACGAAAAATATTCAAAGAGTTACACATGAGGTGGTGAATGAATAAAAGGATATATCATACTTACGTTCAGGGCGGCCCATGGCTAAAGCCCATGAAGCAAAGGCTTTAGGCAGCAATAATTATAAGTAGTTTTAGGGACATCATTTTTTAAAAATGTTATCGTGGTCTAATGGTCTGTCCGAACATTATTAATGAGGTCACAGTATCAATTCCCATATATGTTAAAACTTGTATTTTTTGCCTTTTTGACAAATTTTGTTAATGGGCCAAACATTTTTTGCTTTAGGCATCCAAAGAGTTTGGGCCGGCCCTGCTTACGTTTGGTTCTTGATTTTCATCAGTTTGGGTGGAAGACATTGAGAGAATAAGGTTTTAGACTATTGATTAGGGTTTCTGATGAGAACGTGATACAAAGATGAAAGATATATATAGGATTAATATATTTTATAATAAGTATAAGTAAACGTTTGATTTTTTTTTTATATAATCTAACCGCTACCGCCCGTAACCGCAAACGCCTACGGGAAGGAGCTTTTGAAATTCAGCGATTTCGAGCGGTTTGAAGCGGTACGGAGCGGTTTCTATGATTGGTACCAACCGCTAACAACCGCAACCGACCGCTACCAACCGCTAGGAGGGTGCTAGCGGGAGAATCAATCAAGCCCTTAGTCAATCGTCACGGTTGCTGAATGAACTGACACGTGTTTGATGAGGTGGCTTACAATGACGCTGTCGTATTTATTGGAGTTATATTATTATTAGTTTTTCTTTTAAATCGGGTCTCAAACTCCCGACATCTCACTCGTTTACACAACTCATAACTCACAACCAGTGAGATTTGGAGGGGGGGGGGTGGGGTAAACCTGATAATAAAAATTATCTAAACGATTGCGAGTGGAGAGATTAAATATGCATGAAAAATAAAAATCGCTAATAATAAGTTAATAATGCTATACAAATATTGGTCGATATATTGAATTTTTAAAAATGATTTGTTTTGATGTAAATTTTAAACCACAAAACCGATCGGGCTGATCATAAACAAAACCAAACGGTTTTCATTTACATATGATTTTTTTTCGATATTTGGTATAGTTCAGTTGAAATGGATTCAATCTAGGAGTTGAAGAGTTGTTTGCAAGGTTGGGGTTTCAGATTTCCGGAAGATAAATCGTGAAGCGACCCAAAAGATAAACAATAAAATGCGATTTAAATTACATCATTTGAATTCCTTTAGCTGGAAGATTAATATATAAAATGAGCGACAACATGCATATTTGTTACAAGAAAACTGACGTGAGAACAGTTAGACAACATTGTATAAGAAGTGGATTAACATATGTATAAGAAGAAACAAACAATGAGAGCTTTTGAGATTATAGATTAATTAACAGCACCACACCAATTAGGAAACCATTTGCAAAACCTGCTTTTAGTAGGCACAATGTATTTTTCTTTACCATTTTGTAGGTCATTGCAAAGTTTTTTGCAAGCATCCTCGCACATTGTAGGAGTAGCGTTTTTAACTTCTTTCAAACATTGGTTTGAGACACAATGTTTGATACACATATCTACATTATTCGAATGTGAGATTTGTGCCGAAAACATCATTGTGATTAAAGCTGTAACAATCAGAAGATTGCATGTTTTCTTCAAACTTTGAGCTGCCATAACGTATACGAATGTTGTGATATTGATTAGAACAAATGTTATAAATAAAGAAATGATTTGGTGAAGAATGTTGTGTTTGTCTAGGTGAATTATATAGTGAAGGTAATGTTATCTATTTATAGAATTGGTTTTTTTTGTTCTTGTTTTTTTCAATGTGGTGAAGATTGCATCTCTGTGATTTAGTGTTATGGTAATCCAAACAACTTTATTGTTATGAATAAACAATAATTAATCGTTTAACAGAGAACGACTAACCGAACAGAAATCCCCAATTCGGTAAACGATTTCGGTTCAGTTAGTTTCCGGTTAACAAAATTAATTCGACCCGATTAAGTCACTCTCTGGCCTTACCCGACCCGACTCGTCGATTAGTCACACGAAGCTTGACTTTACCATTTCTTTCGACTTTAGAGAGTTTGCTCAATCTTCGTTTCTCGTTTGGTAATCTTCGTTTTTAGCAATTGGAATGATCTTTTTCATAGGAATCATGATAGTTTTTGGCTGCAATTTTGTATATTTCTTCTGATTATGTGACATGAATTTGATTTTGTTGTCGTTGTTTCATGTTATGCCCTTCGTTTCTCATCTCTTTGGTAATTTTGTTTGTGTATCTTCGCTACTCTATGCTCATTTCGTGCTATTAATTCTTAAAGTTGGAAACTTGTTCAATGATTCTCGCAAATTCAAGTTTTTTTCCAGATTGTGATGTCTCAGTACTGTCTTCCATCGATTTATGTGTTTTCAGTATTAAAAATATAGCTTTTGTATTTGCCTTTCTTGTTTTCATGGAGATGAGAATCTGCATAATTGTAGCTCACTAGTCTTTTAAAGTCTGTTGTTTACCCATCATTTTCTTCTGGTTTAGCATTGTATTGAGTACTCAAGATTAGAGCTTTCTTGATCCACATGAAGATATAGCCTGTTTGCATTTCATTTGTGAAAAGTACTTCAGTCCATTTGAGTTTCTATCTGTTTTAGAAGATGTCTGGTGAAAACTTTAACTGGGCATTATCGCTTTTTCAGGGACTGATCAAAGATGGGAAGTCAGGAGAATGTGAAACACCTCGAGGAATGCACTGTTTCCAAGTTAGTTTCTTACTTATGCGTATATCAATATTGTTTGATTGTTTGCTAATCATTAGAAAGAGTAAGGAACATATATTCAGCCTTTGTTTCTTCTCTGTGATATCAACTTTTTTGACTTAGAAATCATAGTTTTATCAGTGAATCATTAGTTATGTAGCCAGTCTTAGTTGTTTTCACTTGTTCACACCATCATGCTTATCCACTACATTGCTTTTGATTTGCTCAAAGAAGTAACCTTAGCATCTAACGTTGGTATTGGTACCTAGTATCTTATGGTTGTTGTTCTTGAAGTTGGAACATTCTTAAGTGTTGAAAAATTCAATTCTTCTGGTGTATAAAATGTTTGTTTCTTAACTGTGTCTGCGATCTAGGAATCATATTTTTGTCATTGAGTCATCACTTATATAGCCCACTCTATTTTCACTTGGCCATACCATCATGCTTAACCCCAACATTGCTTTGATTTGTTCAAAGAAGTAACCTTAGAACCCAACATTGGTATCTAGTATCTTCTAATGTAAAACACAGTGTGATAGTTATTCTCGAAGTTGAAACATCCTCAAGTGTAAAAGTTTCGATTTTTTTTGTGGGTGCAGTGCATTAGGAACATGGGTATTCTCAGTCCTAGGCGCATTGGTTGCAATCCCGGTAGGCATCAAACGCAAGTCTCTAGGTCCACTAGTGTTCTTTGGCACAACGGGAACAATGCTCGACATCATCATTGGTGTAAGTCAATGTGAGAGAGAACACGCAGAGCACCAAATGAAGTTACTCCAAGACTCTCAAAATGCCACAACAACAACCAACACAGAGACTGAGGATAGCTCTTCCATGACCTAATCTTTTTACATTTTTCTCAATAAGACTTTGATGTACTTTGTTGCCACTCACAAGTTAAACTTGTTTCAAGATATTGTGATTTTGCAACCTAAAGCTGATCATCTACATTGTCATCTCCACCAACAAATTGCAAAGGCAATATCGTCTTTCCACACAAACTCCGACTTACAAGAATCAATGACGGAAATTGTAGCACACGAATCATTTGAATTAATACGATGTGAAACTGTTACTAGGAATTGATAAATCTTTGACTCCTATATCCAATGGTATTTAAAAACTCATGTTCAAAGTTAAAACTTTTAACAACAAACTCATGTTCAAACTAAAGAAACAAAGAAAGAAAATCAGAAAGAGAGATGATAACGATCAACGATGAATCTCACTAAAACGACGCCGTTCCAAATCGAAACCAGAGGGAAGATTCTGGAGAACTCAAACTCATCGGACGACGAACAACCGGAGATAAGCGGAGAAGCAGAGTGAAATCAGTAGGCAGATAAAACCCATCGTCAGTTTCATGTCCGACTCTTCTCGTAGTCTTCGCATCACCACCGGCGCAAAAGTGAGTCCAAGCATCGATAAACCGATTCTGATAATCACCACCGTAAAACACATATCGGCCATCTTATTGAGCTCTGATGCGCAGTAGAACGCCACGTGTCCGTTCTTCGTCGTCTCCGTTAGATATGAACCGTCAAAACCAGCTGATCGTTTGCAGATTCCGGTGAAAATGGCGAGGGAAACTGCAAGAAAGAAACGATCGTTTACTCGACGAGTCTCTTCTCTTCTCTCACGACCTCCATCATCATCATCCATTGATATCTCTGAATCTTTCAGGAAACGATGGAGATTTTGAAACGATGACTGATAAAAAAAATCAGAATCTGGAAAAAAAGTGAGAAAATTTTGTCTCTGTGAGGTTTTGGAGTTTGTTAAAGAGGGAAGAAGGAGGGGTTTATATAACCTAACCATGGTTAAATTTTAACCATGAACCATGGTTTATTTTAACCATACGTTTTCTCTAACCATGGTAAATACTAACCGTACGTGTTGAACAAGTTTCAACGTTAGAGGTGATGACTGATGATAAGGACTGGACGAAGGACTTACCTCTTTTGGTTACTGTAAAAAGATGTTTTCTTGAATTACTGGTTACAAAATTTCGCTCTTTGCATGGTTTAGTATTTGATCAAATAACTATCTAAACGTTTCACTACATTTTGCAGCTTCCTTCAACACTTTGAGCTAAAATTTGAAACTTTTAAGAACATGATCAAGTGATTAGTCTTAATCCGATATCATAAACTTTTACGCATTTTATCTAAGTAAAATATAAAGTGATAAATCTTCCAAGTTGTTATAACTACGATATCAATTAATATTGAGAAAATCTTGTTTATTAGAGAAACCAAAATGTTCAAAACATAAACGAAAAGCAGATACAGAGCATCGGGGATGGTCTCACTAAACGACACAGGTCCAAATCATGTTCAAACCTCTAATCAAAGAAACCAAAATGTTCAAAACACAAACCCAAAGAAAAGGAAAAAAACGAAAAGAAGATAGAAAGAGAGATCATGTAAGCATCGGCGATGGTCTCACTAAACGACACTGGTCCGTAGAGCTAGAAAGAAGGAGAGAGAGTTTGATGACGTGTAACGATGGAAGAAACTCAGACACACCACTCACCCGACGAAGCAGCGAAGGTACGCTGAGAAGGAGAGCGTGAGGACGACACATATCAAACCCACGAGTAGCTGCACGTCGCACTCTTCTCGTACGTTTCTCATCCGTTCCAGTTTCACCACCATCGGAGCAAAAATGGTTCTGAAAATCACAAGCCTAAAAGCCAGATGCGCCCACAAATTGAACTCCATCACCCAAGAATACGCCACGTCTCCGGTCTTCGTCGGATTTGGATATGAACCAGTAGCTCGTTTGCAGACTCTTGTGGACAGTTCAAGCAACACTGCGACGAAGAAACGACCCTTCAATCGACGAAGCTCTTCACGTCCCTCCTCACGATTCTCTTCACGTATCTCAACAACTCCATCCATGGCGAGAGATTCTTGCAGGACAAAAATCAAGATGTGAGACGAAGATTGTGAAAATGAAAACAAGAGTCGAGAGAGAAAATCTGTTCAAGGGGTTTTGGAGTTTATAAGCATAAAGTGTTTTACTTTTATTTAATCTAACCATGTTTAACCGTGAACCGTGGTTATAGTAATCGACTAATCGTACCTCTTTAGTTACACAATTTTGAATTTTCAGTCGCTACTAAACCGGAAATCAATACTTTTGGTTACACAAATTGATTGGTTCGTGTCTGCTTGGGCCAATTTTACCATAACGGAATGGTTTAGTAATGTTTGAATAATTTGATATAGTAACTATTCATCAAAAATTATGAATTTATGACTGTTTTATTTTTTATTTTATTTTTGACGGCGACTGTTTTATATTTGTAGTTAATTTTAGAATATTGGTACTCTTGTTTTTACTTGATTAAGTTGATTTAAGGATCAAGTTATAAACTAAACATCCTACCAAGAAGAAAAAGTTATAAGCTAAACATATAATTAAAACCTATATCAACGCTAGCATTCAACTCCAAGGGATATTCACAACATTGGGTGTATTGGAGTAAAGATTTAGGAGGATTTTGTGGAACTTAGGAAATTTGGGTTTTGAAGAGATATTGTGAATTTTTAGGATACTTTGGTTGGAATTGTTAGATTTTAATTTTAAAAAGGAAAAAATAATTTGTGATTTGGTGAGATTTTAAACAGATATTATTGAATGATTTGGTGAGATTTGTTAGAACAAAAAGGAAAAATTGGATTTCAATTAAAACGGAAGTGACATAACTCAATCTTAGCAAAAGCAAATTCCATTGATGTACCATTCCAAAGCTCAAGTCACTGAAATCACCATCAACAAGTACCAAGTGCAAAGAGCCAAACTATAACAATAAGAATTCTCTTTGCAATGTCGTTTGTGCTTTTGAAACATGTCGTTCGATTAAAAACGCTATGACGTGATGGAACTGATCAAAGATGGGAAGGCTTGCTTTAGAGAAAACATGTTGTGGTTGTGATTCTGAGATAGTTTACACATTTGTGTTACAATTTCAATATTGAAAACTTGGACGACGACGACAACAAGGACGACGAAGACGATGGCTTTGGCGACGATAACAAGGACGACGAAGACGATGGCGTTGGCGATGCTACCTGCGGGCTTAAAGGTGGTGGAGTCGGAGTGATTCTCGATGTACATGAGATTAGCGACGGTACAGATCTGATGGTCGGAAGTGAGACGATCTCTCATATTTGAAAAACCCTGTTTTTTTTTTTTCAAGAGTGATGAACACGAGAAGAGTGAAAGAGATGATTTTTTTCTGTGATTTTTTTTTTATAACAAATTGTTCCAAATACCACCTCTGAAGGTGTGATTTTTTTTTTATTGGGTTTAACATGTCAAAATGTATACAAAGTCTCCCAAAATCAGTGTTGTAGATTTCTTTCAAAAAAAAATTATGTTTTCAATAACAGTTGATTTGATATAAGTTTTACAAATTGTTGATTGAATAACAAGAGATTGCAAATGATTTTATAGAAATTTCAATTTCAATAACATTGGATTTGGGAAGTGATTTAAAAATTACAAGTTGAATAACAGGTCATTTAAAGAAAATCCCAAAAATTTCTAAAATCCTAATTTCAATACAGCCCCCTTGTTCTCAGTAATCTTAATGGTAATATTTGGTAATTAAAATTAAGCCTCCGGAAATTGCAACACAAAGACCATTTGAAGAAAGTGATTATGAGCTACAATCATCTCGAAAGATATATCTATGTAACCTTTTTTTATGTTATGAACGGATAAATCTTGGACTTCAATATCAAATGGTATTTATAAAATCATGTTCAAGACCTCTATCAACAAACCATGCTCAATCCCAAACCAAAGAAACGGAGAAAAAAGAAAAGAAGAGAAGAAAGAGAGATGATCTCACTAAAACGACACCGTTCCATACAAAGAAAAAGCAGAGGATGATTCTGACTCACGCCACGACGAACTAGCCAAGGTAACCCAAGAGAGCGAGCACATTAGGCGAGATAGAGATTGAAACCATTCGGCGATGGTCTTAATAAACGAAGAAAGCAGAGATCGACTAACAACTCACCCACCAGCGATGATACGCCATGAGACAGAGCGAGATCGTTACGCTGATGAAACCACCCAGAAGCTTCATATCGCAGTCTTCTCGGTGACTTCGCATCCGTCGTCCCAACACCACCACCGAGGAAAGTATTTGAAAAATGACCAACATACAAGATAAATGAGCTACTTTGTTGAAAATCGCTGCCCAAAAGAACGCACTGTGTTCGTTCTCTGTCGTCTCCGTTCCCGAATTTGGATCTGAACCGTCGAAACCAGCTGCTCGTTTGTAGACTCCGGTGAAAAGATCGAGCGCTACTGCGGCGACGAATCGAACGATCAATCGACGTTTCTCTTCACGTCTGTCACGTTGCTCTTCACGTATCTCAACAGCTCCATCATCCATGGCGATCGGAATTTTGCAGGAAAAAATTGAGACGAAGATTGTGAAAAGCAGAGAGAAAATCTGAAGAAAGGTTTTGGGGTTTGTTAAAAGAGGAAAAAGGGTTTAATGTTAACCGAACCATGGTTAACTTTTAACTATTAACTATGGTTAATAATAACCGTACGTGGTTATGACAGGTGGAAAGATGGATTGATCGGACGGCTTACAATAAGCCATGTCTATCTTGTCTTGTTCTTAAGTACGTTACACTTGAAAACCCGATTTCTGCATGTAATATTTGATTTCTTCATTGTTTCAATGTTTTGCTACGTGAAATGATTTAAAGATAAGTTATAAACTAAACATATGATTAAAACCTACAGCTATACTATATCATCGTATGAAAAAAGTAAACGCTAGTATTCATGATTATTATTTCATTTGGATGTTCACAACATTTTTGTACCTCAGTAATCTTATTGGTTATGGTAATTGCTTAATGAGCTACAATCATTATGAAAGATAATGCGATATATGCAACTTTTTAAATCTAAAACTACTACGAACAATTTATCTTATGAACGGATAGATCTTGGACTTAGAAATCAAATGGTATTCATAAAATCATGTTCAAGATCCCAAACCAAAGAAACAGAGAAAAAAAAGAAGAAGAAGAAGAAAGAGAAAGCAGAGGATGATCTCAGTAAACGACACCGTTCCGTAGAGAAAGCAGAGGATAATCTTACTAAAACGACACAGTTCCATAGAGAAAGCAGAGGATGATTCTTACTCAATAGAGATAGAGAAAGCAGAGGATGATTCTTACTCACGTCTCAGTAAACGAAGAAAGCAAAGAGCGACTAACTAATTCATCCACCAGCGAAGATACGCCATGAGAGAGAGCGAGATCGTTAGGCAGACGAAAGACAACAGGATCTGCGTATCGCAGTTGCAGTATATTCGGCGTCTCATCCCTAGTGCCAACATCAGCGTCAGGGGTAGGGTATGGATAGTCGCGGTCAAAGAAGAAATCTGAGCTGCTTTGTTGAACATTGATGCCCAATAGAAGGCAGCGTCTCCGTTCTCCGTCGTCTCCGTTCCCGAATTTGGATCTGAACCATTGAAACAAGCTGCTCGTTTGTAGACTCCGGTCAAAAGAACGAGCGTGACTGCGACGCCGAAACGAACGATCAATCGACGTTGCACTTTACGTCTCTCAACAGCTCCATCCTCATCCATGGCGATCGGAATCTTGCAGGATTTGAGACGAAGAAGATCAGAGAGAAAAATCTGAACAAGGGGTTTTGGAATTTGTTAAAAAGAGGAAAAAGGGGTTTAATGTTAACCTGACCATGGTTAAATTTTTACTATTAACTATGGTTTATAATAACCGTACGTTTTCTAACGGCGTGAGTTGTGATGATAAAGGACCTGACCTCTTTGGCCACCGTGAAATACCGGTTACACAATTTTCATTCGTTACGAAACACGATATTTCCGGTTAAACAAGTTGGTTCGTGGAAATTTTATTCTGCTTGGTTTAGAAAATAGAGCAAACATTCATGATACAACAGAGCAAAACACATCACACATATAAAAGATCGAATATTAATGAACTTATTATATAAATTACTGATTGACGATCTCATCCAACGATATCCACCGTGAACATAACAGAGATCACATTAACCATTAACCAAGACAGAGAGCTTGGCAGAGGAGCTTTCACGCTTTCACTAAGGGACAGAGTATGCCGTCCTTTCGTACCTTCTTCTTGATAGGACAGGTTTAGAGACAAATAGTTAGCAGAAGTAACAGTCCTTCAGTGAAAGAGGAAGCATAAATAAACCAAGAAGGCCAAAAGTTAACAACCATCGAGCACTTGCTCGAAATCGACATGCAGAGCAAAGCGACCATCACAAGCGTAAAGGAGACTCTCTCTCCTCTCTGCGTCCAGACTTGAACTAATGCCGCCGCAAGAGCAAAGGCAAACGCTGAGTTACTAAACACCCAAAAACTCTTTATAGTTACTTGTCTGACTCGAAATTCCGCTATTGTCATCATCTCCGGTTTTGGACATGATGCGTTGAGAGCAGTTGGTGGGATGATAATTGGCCTGAGAGTGTTGAACATGATGTTGAAAGCTATCATCATAATAAGAAGTGGTCGAGGACGGTGACGAACACCATCCATTTCGGACTTATTTAGGGAAAAATTTCAAGGGACTAAGGAATGGAAATTCTAAGAAGAAAATTCGAGGATTTGTAGTATGTTAAGAGGAATGGGGTTTATGAGTTTATCTAACCATGATTGACTTTGGCGTAATAGTTTCCTAACATAGTAATATGTTTCTACATTGTCAGAGTTTATACAAGTTATATGTTGGATATTAAAGAGGGTGTTTCTAGATGAGCTCCATTTGCTTTATTTAATAACGTGTTGGATTGGTTTATTGAAGTTCTGGTTACATATGTAGTTTACTTCTGATTTTTTATCCCATCTTCCCCAAATAAAAAGAAACAAAATAAATTGGGACGTCTAGTCACTACAAGAAAACAAGGCTCTTTCTTACGGATTTTCCGACGTATAGACGAATTGGTAAGTCTTTTACTTTTATTTGATTTCATGTTTTCTTTACAATTTAACTTTTTTTTTTTTTTATATAGACGGAGAAAAACGGAGGTGTGGAACCTGATTTTGTAGAAGTCATTGAGGATACACACACCAACAAGAAAACAGGAAAAATTCAAGATGGTTACATCGCAGGCCTCGTTGAGACGTTGAAGAAAAGGAAGACGGAGTGCCTCACGCAGCTTTCTCAAAATGATGATGGTTCCTCATCATCCAATGTCTTAGTCCGAGAAAAGATCAACCGCATGGTTCTTGAGGTAAGCTTTGTTTTATAACTTAACATTTTTTTGTATACATTTTAAAGTTTACTAACAATTATTAAATACAAATTCAGGAAATTCCGTTAAAGCGGGGTCGTGTGGTGGGCTTAGGTAGCCTAAACCAAAGCAACGGATGAAGAAAAAGACAAGGAGATCTTAGCATTGAAAGAGCAAAACAAGAAGATTCTTGACTTCATGCGTTCAAAATTTTCCGATTTTCCCGATGATCTATAAATGCTTTTGTTTTAGTTTAATTTTGTTGTATTGGTAAAGAATCTTCTTTTCTTTTGTTGGATAATATATGCATTTTTCAAATATTTATTTAGTAAAAAATTTCATATATTTATTTAGTAAAATTTTCAATAAATATTTTAAAAAATTTAAAATTAAAAAATTATTTAATTAGTGATTAAATATGATCCGTCGGTAATCCGTCGGCTACTTAAACATCGTCGGAAATCCATCAGTAAAATACCGTCGGGAATTCATCGGGAATCACTCCGTCAGTAAACCGTCGAACGTTGATACCAACCGATTCCCGACAAAGTTCCGATGAAATAACGGACAACAGTTTTGGTTAGGAAACCGTCGAAAAGCATCATCGACGGGTTTTCGACGGTCGGTTCCGACGATTTTCCAACCGTTTACCCAAACGTAGCTATTGTCCGAAAACCGTCGGGAACGAGTCGGAAAAGCTATCGTCGGAAAAACGTCGGCAATTTGAAACGAATTTCCGACGCCTTTTAAATTTCCGACGAGATCGAACCGACCAATCGAGTTCGTCGAAAATCCGTCGGAAACAGCCATTTCCGACGCCATGCCGACGATTTCTTCCGTTGGAAATAGGCTCTGTTCTTGTAGTGAGTTGCCTCTAGGCGACCGCTTCGTATCCGAAAATATTAGATCGTTGCAATTTTTGGGTAGTCAATAAATAAATGTGTCTACTCATTAAACGGTCCATTAGTTGGGCTAACCGGATTACGGGATTAGTTTATACTTCAAGAAAACTATAGTTATATAATTTGGACTTTGGTGAATAGTATGGACGTTTGTTTTTGGGGAGAAATTTCGAAACCATAATTTAAAATTTTTTGAGGATAAAATATACGAATTGTAAAAGTTGGAATTCTTCCTAAGAAAAAAAGGCTAACAACACAAAGGAAAGGGAAACAATATTAATTAAAGTAAAGGAAAGGGAAAAAATAATAAGGATATATTCACAAAATTGCAATTAGTATGTATGATCCTTAATACAATTTAGCGCCTCTATATAAGAAGAGAAACCCTAAACCTAAGTAGATACTAGATCGATTCACTCTTTTTTCTTTCTCTTTGATAGCAATGGAAGCGGAAATATCATTTCGCAGCGAAATCGACCTCAAACCTAAATCCAAAGATGCTGGATCATTTAAAATCTGCGTAAGTGCCCTAAGGTCGGACACATCAATTAGTCTTATATCTTATACCAAATTTCGTTCTCTCGTACGAAGGCGTCATATCCTCCTACCCTAATGACTTGAAAAAACTGACTGATTGGTTGTACTTAGCAGGGCTCTCCGACCAATATGTTGACATTGCTAACTCTCAACTTACTGAACGAATCTGTAAGTCGATTATTATGGTAGACTCTCCAGTTTGTGCTACGTTAGTGTACATGTACTGTAAAGTCATTGTTCCCTCTCCTCCTTGGATTGACTCGTTCGATGAGACCACCAATAATATCCGGTTAATTAGACCGGCAAGTAAGCTTGCGGTTGGTCGTTTGGCAAGGAAAATATATAAGAACAATAAGAAGAAGACGTCCAAGTTTGACGCCAGCATGTGCGCAATTTGTTTGGAGGGGTTTGAAAAGGGAGAAATAGTCGTGACCTTACCATGTGGCCACGAGTTTGACGATGGATGTATTGTGAAGTGGTTTTTGAAAGATCATGTTTGTCCATTGTGCCGTTTCGAGTTGCCGTGTTAAGAGATGAGCTAATACTTGGGGGACAAGTTAAAGGGTTAAAGGGAGCTTAGAATTTTAAGGGCTATTTAGAGGTAGTGTTTTCAGTTAAAGCTAATCACATCGAGACTTTGTTTTTGATAACTTGAGACTCGCATAACAAGCTTGCATTTACGCCGTTCAGTTTCTTTAGCTTGATGATTTATCCTAAAGTCTAGAAACTAAATTTAATTTATGCATCTCTTCTTTTTCTTTAAACAAAGTTAGCTACCAGATATATAAAAGATGACATTTAGTTAATCTCTTTGTTTCTTTGGATCTCTCCATTGTTTTTGCGATAAATGTACGACATCTAAATCAAGCATTTATGTTTATATTGCATTGAATATATCAAACGGTTCTCAACAATCAATCATATGTACAAACCAAAGAAACCAGGAAAAAAAAGCAACAAGAAACGAGAGTTTGTGATCACAATCAAAACGGCGTCGTTGGCAAAGAAAACAGAGGGTAGAGGATCCGATTTACCGGAAGAACAAGATAAAACATAACAAGCAAGACTGTGAAATGAGAGTGACGATCAGAAACTTGCCGGTGATTACTTGAGCTCTCTGTATCCTCTCCAAAGAATCGGGAAGATCCAACTGCACCAAACCAATACTCGTCATTACCATCAGAGCAAACCCATACGCTATTTTGCCGACATGAGTTAATACCAAACCGAGAACCGCCACGTATCTAGCCACCGACGTCGTATTTGTTTCCGGATTCAGATCTGAGAGGTAAGAACTCCTGCGAATCATGAGAGAAGTGATGAGAGAGACCAAGATTGTCGCTTCGATAAGTCGACCGTTTTGATTTGTTCGACGACGACTATCTTGATCTCGTGCTTGAGCTTGATGAACAACACCATCCATTTTTCTTTTTCAAGAATCTTGATTCAAAATCTTGGAGGAAGAAGAATGAAGATTGAAGTGAGTTTATAAGATAGAAACAGAGTTAAGTCGAGAGCAAAGGAGAAAGATTCGTCGACGGATTTATACTGTGGGGTTTAAGCTAATCTAACCATGGTTAATAGTTAACCGTGGACCGTGGTTTAGAATAACGGTTTTTTAACGGATTAAGTCTGTTAGACGAAGCCTGTTGCTCTGCTTTTGGAAAATAACGGTTTGGTTAACACATTTCGTTTAGTTGCTGATTTCCGGTTTTATCAAACCGGTTTGTACCAGGCTATAGTCAAAATGTGACGTCAGTAATATTCCCATGCCTTTACTAAACGAAGCTTGAAATAGTTGCTTCATCTAGCGACACGTGGAATGATTAATATATCGGACGGCTTATAAGCTAAGTTAAGTAAGCTAAAATATTTGAGACTTTTTTTGGTACTTGCTTTCATTTTACGCTCTTGATTTTCTTAAGATTCATTACCATAAAAAGAGACTTAACTCTAAGTCTTCAATGATTAATACATAAAGCTTAAAAAGCTAGAGTCATAATCATAAAACCTTAAAACGTCAAACAATAACCGGAAATTAAACTTGAACTAGAAATAGCAAACATAAGGAAGGGTATACCGAAAGACAACCAGACAAGAACCGGAAATTGAACTTGAACCAGACATTTAACTCTAAGTCTCAGTAATGATCATTGAAGAAGTGAATGAAGAAGCAAAGAACGACCAACATGACGAATCCTTGAAGAAGACAGAGACCAGAGAGCAACGAGTTAGGACTCAGCCTAATGAAACTCAAGCACCCAAACGAAAGCATCTCAAAGAGGAGAGCGATCTTTATAAGTTTGACGGCGACTCGCTCGGCTCGAACCGGAGGTCCGTCGACGGCCAGAACTATTATCGCCGCGAGAGCAGAGACGAGGCCTAGATAGCTCAACGGGTAAAAACACTGAGATGTTATCTTTATGGCTTGAAACGTCGCCGGAGTCATACCCGGAGGTGGATTTGTTGGGTTGAGACCGACCGGGGATGAGAGAAATGGCACGACAGTGAGCAAGACAATGAACAGTGCTGGATTCATTAGTCGAAATCGATTCTCATGTGCTGCAGCTTGACGATGATGAGCATCCATATTTCTTGATTCTTGAATATATCTTGAGAGCAAACGATTAAAAAAAAGTTTGAGATTTTAGATGAAATAAAATTGGAAGTAGGTAGATATCGGAGTGGAGGTTATTAATTAACCTAATAAAGATCTGATTTTATTTTTTACCATTGTTCTTTTTACTTGTTTTTGTTTTTTGAAATCTTTAATGGTACAGTCAACTCTATAACTAGCATATACTGCTGTGCATCAGATTTCAGAGCCTTACAAAAACATATATTTTGGTTATTAAAGTGTTTCTGTGGTCAATGCATTTGGACCACTTGCTTTATTTTGAATTTTGATTTTATAACCTTTTGATTTGTTTAGTTATGTACTATAGTTAATATAGAGAAGAGTAACATAAAAAGTTAACTTGGTTCTTACAATGTGAAGTTATCTTCTAACTATGCCAGCTTTTAAAATTACAAAACCTTTAGATCATGTCATCTTGTATAGACTTTAATCCAAAAACACCTTTTTTTTTCATTTGCATATATAAATCAGTTCTCAAAAAGTATTGAAATTCAACACTTTCCTTAAAGAAGCAACATTATATAGAAATGTTATTGATAAGACATAAAAATAAAAATATCTATCCAGACACATGTTTTGAATAGATAATGCATAAAAATGAAGAATAATTCCATCTTCACTTATACTGACCATATGAGTCAAAACCCGGCATTCCGTTAATGGAAGACGAAGAGCCACCACCAACACTGGATTCATCCTGACCCGACGACCCGTTTTGGTAGTACCGACCACCTCCCATAACCATGGATTGGTCCAACATACCATAACCATAAGGACCAGGAGGAGGTAGGCCATGAGATGGGCCATGTGGTGGGCCGTGAAACCCAATACCATTTCCTCCGTAGGCCTGTCTCAACGACGGTGGCTCACCTCTAAGTGCCGACCCACGATCGGTCTCTATCTCACGGTACCGGTTAATGAACACGGTGAGTGGATCCACGTAGTTATCGAACCCAAGCTTGCTCATAGCCCAAAGGATATCTTCAGCAGTTATGGTCTTACGTTGCTCACGTTGGCAACGCTCATTGGCTTCACCGGTCACGAAGCTAATGTACTCGGAGACACATTCTTGAATCGTTTCTTTGGCGTCGTCAGAGATTTTGGCGTGCGACGGTAAGATTTTACGCATGATTCTTATGACGTTTGCGATTGGCATGTACTGGTCTTGTTCACGAGCCATACATGGTAGTTGCTGCTGGGCTACGATACCCTTGTTGTTGTCACTGGCGTCGGCTACGACGACTGAGCTGGTCATTGGGTTTGGGTTACTGTGCTGGTCCAAATTCAATTCTGTACATAGAAAATCCAGAGAGATTTTGAAATCTTTAGGAAATAATAATTGAGCACGTAAAGAAGATAAATTGAACTGGAAATGAAAATTAAATACTTAGAGCATGTACATGGGTGATACCCATATAGTATCATTAGGAATTTTTTAGTATTATTTATAATGTTTGTTTATTATTTGAGATTCTTTATGATACTCCTAGTAAATATGTTTGCATTGGTGATACCGGTTTAAGTATCATAAAAAAAAAATTTACAAAATCAAAAATTAATATATTAAAACATAAGATTACAAAAGGTAATATTACAAGAAAAAAAAAAGTAGAATATACTTAAGCAAAATAAAACATAAAATTCAAAAAAAACTGAAAAAAACATGATGAAAATAATAATTTAGTCGGTTGTAGTCAATTACCTTGGCCCCATTTTTGCCAAATATGTTCAATCAAATCTTCTTTCAATTGTCGATGTGTTTGTTCATGACGTATTTGAGCTCGATTGGCCATCAAATTGTTCACATTTGTAGCTGTCTCTGTAGAAAAAGAGTTGTCTACTTGAGAAGTCCCGCTTCCTTCGCCTTCTACGAAATCAGATAAATCGAACTGAGTATTTTCGTCTCGTTCATCTTCTACAATCATATTGTGCAATATGATACATGCTCTCATTATCTTGCCCATTCGCTCTTTATCCCAAAACAGACCTGGGTTTCGAATAATAGCAAACCGAGCCTGCAAGACTCCAAAAGCACGCTCGACATCTTTTCTCACTGCTTCTTGACAACTAGCAAATAATGATGCTTTCGGTCCTTGTGGGCGGGTAATTGATTGGATGAATGTTGCCCACTTCGGATATATACCATCTGTGAGGTAATAACCCATTTTGTATTGATGTCCATTGACTTCGTACCTGAGTCGTGGAGCTCGACCTTCTAATATATCATCAAACACCGGTGAGCGGTCAAGAACATTTATATCATTACACGTACCTGGAGCCCCCAAAAAAGCATGCCAAATCCATAAATCTTGTGATGCCACAGCCTCTAAAACAATAGTGGGTTTTCCATGTCCGCGTGAATACTGTCCTTTCCAAGCCGTAGGACAATTCTTCCACTCCCAATGCATACAGTCAATGCTTCCTACCATTCCCGGAAATCCGCGTTCCTTTCCAGAATGAAGTAACCGTTCTAGATCCTCACGTGTAGGCCGCCTCAAATATTCGTCTTGAAATAAATTTATTATGCCATCTACAAAATTCTCTAGTGCTTGGCTCACAGTGGTTGCGCCCATGCGGAGGTATTCGTCCATCGCATCGTTTGCAAGACCATATGCCAAACGCCTAATTGCGGCAGTACATTTCTGTAGGGCAGATAGACCTTGCTTCCCAGTAGCATCGTCCCTTTGTTGGAAATATGGAAATTGAGAAAGACTTTGAACAATACGAAGGAACAACGGCTTCGTCATACGAAATCGTCATACGAAATCGTCATACGAAATCGTCGTCGGAACATGCGATCATGGTAAACGGGGTCATCCGAAAAGTAATCGTTCCATAATCGAATATTTCCTTCTTCGTGATCTCTCTCTATATTAGCAGCCCTTTTTTTCTTTCTTTTTTCCCGCTACACGTCTACTGAAATTCTCTAAACCATCTTCAAAACATGTTTCAAACCTCTCCTCCAAAGTGTCATCATCATTAGAATGTGATGCCATTATTATTTAAGAAGCAAAACGTATAAGAAATAAAAAGAAATTTTGGTTAGAGAAGGAAAATGATTTGAAAGAGATTTTGGTTAGAGAAAGAAAATGATTTAAAAGAGAATTGGGTTTGAGAAGGAAAAGAACTAAAAGAGTTTTGTGGTTTGTAAATGAAAACAAAGACTTGGTTAGAGAAGAATTGTAATGAAAAATAGGAGAAGAGGAATAATTGTTTCGTATGGATTTCAATATGAGAAGACAAAGACATTTATATAAGAGAATTGTACCAATAATACATTGTCGACAATACATTGTGCTACTAAAACAAAACAACAAGTGGTTTCTCCACAATACATTGTGCTACTAAGACAAATACCATAGAAAGTAAAAACAAGTGGCTTCTGACCACAAAAACATATAGACCATATGCCATGTGCTACTAAAAACAAACAAATAGTAGCTCTGTTCTTGGCAGGTACATCCGAATAAAGCAAAAAACAAAGTACATCCGCATAAAGTCATCACTAGCTTCCAAGAGGAGGTCCTGCACATAAAAAAGCAAAGAATATCAAATAATAATACATGTTAAGTTAACAAAACAACTTAACTAACAAACACATACCTAAAGACCAGAATAATCATTCTCAGAAACAAACACCTTGCTTCCAGACAGATACTCTTGGATAAGAGAGTTCTTAAGTTGAATTTCCAACTCACTCAATCCATCAGACCTTCCAAGAAGGCTGTCAAGTAGCTTCTGCTTGGAAAGTCTCTCTTTGGCAGCCAAATCCTTCTCTTTCACTTCCCACATAAGCTGAAGTTCAGCAGCAGAACTAGCTTCAGCTTCTCCTTCAATCTTTCCCTTACCTTTGGACTTGGCTAAAGCCTTGGCTGCCTTCACACCTATAGGCCTTTGAAGAGTCTCTTCTTCTACAGATGAAAGTTTAGCTTTCTTCTTGGCAGGAAGTTTGGTCTCACACCAATTGCACCATTTCTGATCAGTCTTGAGGATTCTCCAAACATGCTCAAGACTGAATTTGTTTTTTTGATCTTGATGGTAAAGCTTGTAGGCCAGCACGATAATGTCATCTTCATTCTCTCCACTGCGAGGAGTCCGAGAGGCAAACTCATAACAGCCTGCAAACTTCATGACAAGCTCATTCATTTTTTGCCATTTCTGCTTACAAGTATTTGGCTCTCGGATGGTGAGCTTAGAGACAGCAGGACATGCAGCATAATATGCTGCAACCCTATCCCAAAAGGCAGCTGATCTCTGCTCATTCCCCACAACAGAGTCTTTGGATGTGTTGAGCCAGGCACTTGCAAGTGCCTTCTCTTCAGGAACACTCCATCTCACTCTAGACGCCCTAGCTAAGGATGTGGGTGTTTGGGATTCAGAAAAAGGAGGCTGTGAAGGACTGGGAGGCGTTGGATTATCTTCTTGGCTAAACAAGAGATTGGTAAAGGATTGAGAGGCGGAAAAGTTTAAGTTGGAGCCATTTTGTGTTTTAGAAGAGTTTAAGTGGTTTGTTTAGTTCTCATTGTCGACATTATAAAGGAAAAGCCTCAATAAATAACAAACACAATACTAATTCAAGTCACTGAGACACTAGCCATCAACATAACTTTAATTTAGATGGCTAATGTCTCATCACCATTTTATTGAACTTTAAGTTTAAGTTCAGTTGCATTTAATTTTTTTTTTTTCTGTTTAAATTCACTCCATCTCATCACCAACGCCACAAATACATTAAACTTCAGAGAAGCTATTGTTAAAGAGATGACAATAAATTCACTATCTACTTTTTCTGTATTCATTGATTCATTTAAAGACAACTACATTCTCAACCACATCTATCTAATCTCTATTAACAATTAAAGCAATTTAGGAGTGTACCTTTCACCTACGCATCTTCTTCACAGCAATTGCACCATGAAGACATTCAGTAGTATCTTCACTTTCCTGCAAATATCAACAGAAACATGGATGATGTCAATGACTGATATAAAGAAAATACAAAGCTGTTTGAAAAGAATTTTAAGACTATCAAATCAAATATGTTAAGCTAACCTCATCAGAATCTTCATCAAATGAATCTGAACTGCTTGCAGCCTTGGTAGCAGCAGCCTTCTATTTAAATTAAACAAATACAACTAGTTTCAGTACTAGTAAAACACAGTTCATAAGTGAAATAAGTGATCAACAAACAGAAAAATTTATCACCTCATCCTCAGAATCATCATCTGAGTCCTCATCAGAGGATGAATCATCTTCAGACGAACTCTCAGACCTTGGCCTTTTTAGAAGCAGCCGCAGCATGCTTCTTGGTTGCAGCCTTCTTGGCTGGAACTTTCTTAGCCTCTCAAATGTATTAAAGCTGATTAGAAATAACTCAATTCACATGCTCAAACCAACAAAAATAAATTAAGACAGTAAAAGTTATACCTTCTCATCTTCCTCAGATTCAGAATCTGATGAATCAGAGCTCTCAACCTTCTTAGTCACCTTCTTCACAGCTTTTTACTTTTGTACAGCAGCAATCACGTCTTCCTTCTGCTTCTTAAGACTCACTTTAGTATCAACATCATCTTCAGGCTCCCTCTTACCTAAAGAGAAGCAGCAAACAAAGTTTTTATCAATAACACGTTCAATCTCATCATTAAAGGTTCTGAATTCATGATTGAAATATACTACAGAGATAGACAAACAACACCTATCGAATTCTAAGACCTATATTCCCAAACCAATCTTACGGGTTCATGAGACAAACAAGTTACACTAGCTAATTCCATCAGACATATCAGAAGGAGAAACATAGATATAAAAATGCAAACTTTCAAGACCAAACTCGTTATGTAACAGAGAAAGACATAGACCAAAGCATTTAAGGTAAAAGGGAACAAAAGTTCATACCTTTCAAAGGCTTATTACTGGCCTTAACAGCAGGAGGAGCGGAGGAGAGGAGAGAAGCACAAATCCAAGCTCGTTAGACCATGGAGGTGAGGAGAAATCGAAAATCGCCCGAGGAAATGTGAAATAGAATCGAGGAGATGAAGCCGGAGAAGAAACGGAGAGGTGAAATAGAATCGAAGAGATGAAGCCAGAGAAGAAACGGAGGGAGCGGAGGCAGGAGATCGGCGGAGGAGAAGAAATCGTTTTCTCCATCGCGTTTCTAGGGTTAGAGAGGAAAGAAGAAGAATGAGTTTTTTTTTTTTTTAACCTGTTTTTACAAAAAAACGCGTTTTCGGAACCAATAAGAAGCCGCCACGTCAACGATACTGGGTATCAAAAGTCTCACCCCAGTGATACGGATCAAGCCCAAAAATTGTGTCTGAACCATTAAAAAATCATATTTGGGCTTATGATACTCTTATTGTTTCACCGATGTCCATGGTCTTAGGATACGAATTGAATAGTAGAAAACAAGAGTATCAAGGGACACGTTCTTAGTTACGGACCAATAAGATAAGAGATAAGTTTGTGGGGTCTACATTTGTTGACTAGACTTATGGACCCCGTTGAGTAGGTACTGTTCAGATTCTTGCCGTTACGTTTATAATAACTATAGAACAAAAATGTCAAAAGGATCTTTCCTCTTCTCGAAATACTTAAATTTTGACATAAATAACTATAAAAGTATAAACACGTATTTCCAATTTATTTCGTCTAGTTTATTAGAAAAACCAAAAACTCAAAATTTGGAGAAGAACATCAATTAATTTACGGAGAAGAGGGTATGACTCGATAAAGTAGATATTTATTTCATGTGAAGGTTCCCAATGGTAAACGTTAAAAGAGTCACAAGATTAAAGTTAATGACACCCATTAGAATAAACACAGTAAAAGGAAAAAAATTGGACAAAAATTCACAGATTTTTTTTCCAAAAATTACAATTACTAATAGAATTTTGAATCAAAACTCAGACTAAAACTTGGGACTAGTAAGACTGTAAGACATATATATAGTTAAACGTTTGTTAAGTATAAAAATTTTTGAGTGTCTCATTTTTATTTTTAGTGACTTTTAATTTACCGTAGATGTTTTTAGATAAGGGCAGACAAAGAGGAATCTCGTTTTGAAACGGAAGAAAAACTCAACCGTTACGACGAAAAAACTAATAAAGAGAACCAATACAAAAAATCCCCTCCTCTACGTTTTTAGAATCGAAAAATAAATTTGATAAAAGCAAAAAATGATACTCAAAAACATTCTTCATGCATGCACGGGTATATTCAATGAACACATATGATATATTTGTTTAATTAATATCACACCATGGAAAATATGTGAATCAAATTTTGACTCAGCCATGATGAAACAATACACATATCAAACTCTTGCATGCATGTATAAAATCGCCTTCTCCGAGCCATTCCCAAAACTTTCACAAAATCTAAAATAATTTTCGAGAAACAAAGCCTCTACTTCGTTGTTGAAAAGACTCATAAAAATCTTAAAGCAAGTCTCCAATTTTTCATGAGCATATAAATATACATGGAGGCAAGTATATAAATAGCCACTTAGATTACCAGAGATGGATTTGGGTAGCTGATGGTGATAGAAGGGAGCTCCACGTTCCATTGTTTCTCTGCCGTCTTTTTTTTTTGGTCTTTATAAAATAATTATTTGAGTGATTTGTTGCATGCAAAGAGAGGTTGATGGTTGAGTGGTTTTATAGAGAGATGATACAAATGGCAAAGGAGGCGGTTCTTACGAGGTCTCTATATCTCTTTCCCATTGGCTAATTTCATTGGCTATGTGGCCAGTCAAACTGCTCTTCTCTCATTGGTTGTTCTTTTCACAAATTACCAAAGCTAATTGAGTAAAAATTAAAGACTCTATTAAAAAAGAAAGAAAGATAAGAAGATTTTTACACATATGAGGCTCTCTTTGTTTCTAGATAATTGTTGTTTTAACATTTTCTGAATACATATTTAATCAAGAAAGTATTTGATTATCGAACGGCGGAGAAAGATTTAGGTGGCATTATTTTAATTAAATATAATTTATGGGAATTTAATAAGATATATATATATTTTTTTTGTCATCCGAAATTAATTAGAACTCAAAAGAGCCATTCCTGAGGAATGTTGTTTACATATGTGATATGAAGCGGTTCTGTACGAACTTTTCGTGCCAGATTATCCGCTTTAACATTAGCACTACGAGAAATTAAAGATAAAGAGAATGTTGAAAATTCTTCCTTGTCGCTCTGAAATTCCTCCAAATATACTGAAAACGCCGGCCATTCGGTTGGAGAAGACACCCTTACGCCGGCCATTCGGTTTAATAAGATATACATTAAACTAAATTCATTGTTTCCTAATTAATGAAATTGAAAATTATTTTTGAAAAGATTCCCTTACTTGAAATGGTAAATTTTAATATATATGCGTTACGAAAATGAGGTATAAATCTACTGTTTTAAAACTATGTATCACGTTTAATATATTTTTATTTGAAATTAGCATTTTAAAGTGTTTAAAGGAATTACAAAAGTTTAGTAAAAGATATTGGTGTTAGATGCATGTTACAAACTTACAATTGATTGCTTTACATTTTCTAATACATAATTAACAAATCAATATATAAAACCAATACCCTAGTAATCCAATGGTGGATAAAGATTTTTGTGGCGTTATTTAGTTATCTGTTAGTTTCTATCAATTTACATTTGGTACAAACAGTTCAAATAAAATTACAAAAACTAGGATTGGTGTTGTATATCTTAATGAATATCTTCAACCCAATTATTTATTTTATAATTATTTATTATATGTCTATTTAAAAGCGATTTCATACACATTTTTTTATATAAATCATGCTAAAATCATTAAGAAGTTGCTTATATTATTCATCATTTAGTCTTTCTGATGTAATTGTTTATGTTAATTTTTCATTGAGAGGTGGTTTTATAAGGATGTTGGGCTAATCTACTAGATTTATATAGTAAAGATAGATTTATGTATTTTTTGTTATGCATATTGACTTGTTTTCTTGTTCTATTATAGATTCAACAATTATTATTCATTTTTTCCCTTTTGATAACTTTTTTGGGTTTAAATTAATATTTTGTCCTTGATTATAAAATTTGGGATAAAATATTAATTTAAACCTACATAATGTTGGGATTGAGATTGGTCCTACATAATGTTCTATTATCTCTTTTTTTTTTTAATAAAAAAAAAAGAGATTGGTCCTACATAATGTTCATGATCATGATCAAATTTGGAATTGGGATTGATCCTACATAATGTTCATGATCATGATATCATATCAACATGCGTAAATATATAAAGAAGTCATTAAAACAAAAAGAATATATGTAGGTTAATTGCGGTTGGATTACAGACAAGATGAGAGAGTTCTTAAGAATAACCAAACCTCACAATTAAGTTGTACTTGCTTGAGAAGCAGCTTTAAAACCGAAGAGAGACGAAATTCTTGTAAACAAATTCGAGAAGAAATATCAGAATTGTTTTAATAAACTAAATTTTATAAATTACTCTCATGTGGATTTTTTTTTTTTTGGATGCAAACATACTGAATTTCATTTAAACCAGAAGAAAGACAAAGTTTAAGCAAACATCAACCTCATGGTTATATACATCAAAGATAACTACTAGCACTCTAACTTAGAGTCTCTAAAAGATTGCTAGACGAAATAGATAGGATAATTCGACATTTGTTTTTTTTATTATTATTATTTTTTTTCATCAAACACAATTTCTATTAAGATATCAGAAATAGACTTTCCGCTAAGGAGAGCCAATCAGGAACCGACGAACTTACATGGGAAAAGAGACTGTTTCGAGCCCGAGCATTTTTGGCTAAACAGTCTGCTCGTGTATTAGAACTACGAGGAAGAAATCTAATATTAAAAGAAGGGAAAAAACAAACGAGGGACCGGAAAGAGACCATTTCTGCTGCAAAAATTGGCCAGCCGTCTTGGTTGAATTCGACATTTATTTTGGTTATATTTTTAAATAAGTTTTAAGGAAATAGATGGAACACCATGATGAATTTTGGTTATATTTTTTAATAAGTTTTTAAATTAAATTGAAAAACAAGGCGAAAATGTTTTAACAGCCCAGTCCATTACCAGTTTTGGATCTAGCCCATACTAAAAAAGACAAACCTATTAGAACTAATAAAGAACCAATATTGAACCGGGTTTACCTAATTAAGTTTGGTTACCAATATTGGCAGATATCCCCAATGGACGCATACAAACACAACCATCAAAGTTACTGATTCTTCAGATTGATATCCCACCACAAGATGTACTTAGGACTGGCGCCAAGCCCACTAATGTCAGTGATCCAATAACCTATATGGATCTTGTTTATGGTTATATTTACAATCACACAAATGCCGGCCAATGAAACTAGATAATTTGAGATCGTGGCGGATGAGAAAAATTGTTGCGATGTTTTGACTTTTAAATAAATCGATTTATAAATTGTTTTGTGTCATATTCACATGCTTTTCTGGATATTGTAACATTCGTCTTATTTTTGTATTTTTAAGGTCTATAACCCGTGGATATCAATGTGTAATACTAACTAGAAGCCATGTGACTATAACAAACTCCGTAAAGAAGAAAAATATGGATGTGCACAACACTTAAACCATTACCAATAAATCCATTACGTTTTCATCAGATTGGGAATTTAACTTTTTGTACTTCGATTAAAGTTTAGTATTACATTAAATTTTTTTTATCAGAAATCAAAACATTAGGCACACACTATCACAAAATATCGATTTTTACAATAATATATGGATTTATGAATAAACAGAGACAAAGATTATGTTATTTAAAACTGGAAACCTACGATGATAAATGTACTGATGTACACACCTACGTTCGAGCAAACCTCGGAACCGAACCTACATATTTTCTCTGCATTAAAACTGGCAGGGAAAAAAAAGATTATATATGAATAATCTAATTACGTGATAACCAAACAAATATATAATGAGAGATCAGAGATGGAACAGTTTGGTAGATTCAGCGTTGAAATGACAATCTTGTAGGCTTAATAGCTATATTATGGCCATTTGTTTTCTCCATGAGAACAGAGGAAACATCGTTACGTGAATATCTGAGCTTCTCTTGTGTATCCTTTGCTTATTTTTTAAAATTTAATATGTTCACGTCAACAAGCATCATAATTTATTTCCTAAATAGCAGACATAATGATTACCCATTTGCATAAATCTTTAATTTCTTCCAAACTAACAACCCTTCTCGCAATGATGGTAGGATCAAACTATAAAACATTAGTACTAAGGCAATATTTTGAACTAGTAAAACTTACCCTTTTGTGGACATGTTTATGAGAGAAGAAGCATAAACTATAAAAACGTGAAGACTTGATAAATGTTATCAATGGTAGAAAATAATGAAATCAATTAGCAAACGTTTATCTTTCTCCTCTCATGAATATATCCAAAGAAGGGTAAGTTTCACTGGTTCAAACATATATCTACTGTTTCCCTTAAAATTGACATTACTTTTATGTGATTATGTAAAATTATAAAAAAAAATTTAAGGGAGAAAGTAGTAGTGACATTTGGGATTTCAAATTTTCAATAGTGTGAACTGTGAAGAGTAGATAGGAGGAGTTTGCTAAAATCAAACCACGTTGTGGGACGGCTACCTGATTCACCAGCCATCGCTCATCATCGCCAGGGCCGGCCCAGACCTAAAGCCCAGCAAGCAGATGCTTTAGGAAACAAATCTTATATGTATTTTAAAGGGCATCAAAATTACAAAAGTGTCTTGTAGTCTAGTGGTATTTAGGACGTCTAAAGGTAGTTGGGCGTGAGTTTGATCCTTGGCAACCGAAGATTTTAACATTTTTTTATTTTTAGTTATTGTAAATGGGCATCAAATTTTGTTGGGCTTTAGGCATCATGAATCTTTGAGCCGGCCCTGATCATCACTCACCAGTCTTTTCATTTTCTTCAATTTCCCCTTTTAAGTATCGTTATATCTGACTAACCGTACCAATCTTCCAAAATTATATTTTCTGCAAGTTTTTTTTTACGTTTTAATAGCATCATAATCTTGTTAATCTTTGGAGGTTAGTGAAATGATGTCCCAATAAGATGAAAAGTAAAAATAATTATGGGGTTAAATTTTGTAGATAGATTCTTTATACGGCTAAAATTAAATTTTTGATACGACGGTGTGAACTACGAACAGCTTTGACAGACACGTGGACTGTTCAGAAGTTTGATGACGTGGATAGAATCTTGAGCGCCGAAACGTTATTCTACATGTGGCACCGTCAATGTCGTGGATGCTTCGTAACCGACGACATTTTAGGATGAGCCGTGACAGCCCAATAACAGATCCCACTTTGTATGCCAGGTCAGCTTAATTGGTCCAACTTTAAAAGGAACTGTTTGGCCTCACCTTCCTTCTTTGAGGTTAAAATTTAGCCAATTAGGTTTATGATAAGGACTGTTAATTTGATTATGATTCATTTTCTTTTTAACATCGCCACATAGTTATGGCCTTATGGGCATAATGGCCACGAGTTGTTAAAATATAAAAAAGTTTTCTGAATATTGTCGAATATGTACGAGTATTATTCTTGCGTTACTTAGCCGATTAAACACGTAATACTGTATTCGTGTTTGATGTGTTGATTTGCCTAAACACTCTAATTCAATAAGCCAATATTTTGTTTTCGTCAAAAACAAGTAACCAAAGACACTATAGAAAAAACATGTATTCTTTCGAAATAAGTAGTCAATAAAATAAAATGTTGTGTAAAACTATTTTCTGAAAATTACCTAG